AAAATTTTTTTTTAAAAAATCACAAGCTGAGGATGAAAAGAAATAAGTAAAAAGGTAAATTTATATTTTGGCAAATGCTGAATTTGAGGCATTATTATTAAAAATAAAAATGTTTTGTTAAACACCTTTATGAAAAAAAATTAAACAATTATGATTGCTGAATTTTACATGCTTTTTAAAGAAAGATCTGATCACATTGTGAAATAGTAATTAGCTTGTTTCCTTATAAAGAAACATTCATTGAACCAAGCAGCCAGTATTACTGTTGGCCAAAATTTATAAAATATTTCTGTTAAAACAATTTTTTTGCTCTTTCCAGTATTGATGGGAGTTCCCTTCCTGTTTACAACTGATTAATGTGAACATTACATTAACCAAACTTATTGACGGGTCCTGTCAGTAGCAGGAATAATAAATAATTATTAAAATAAAAGATGTTGTCCAGCTATCAAATGGATGATCTTTATTAGAAAACAGTTTAAGAGGAAAATTAAGATGAAAATAAACTTTATTTACATTATTTATATTCAAATCTATGGGGGGCAGGCTCTTCTCGTTCCACTCCTCATGCTAGACAATATCCATAGACATGAGTAGTGGAATGAAAACAGCCTACCCCCATAGATTAAATAGAGGGTTCAGTTCAGAATTCCATGTAGGTTACCCAGATTGATATACCCCTGAGAAAGGCCAAAGGGCACAATGGATGAAATGTTGTGATAAAAACAACAAAGATGAGGACAATAGTCCAAATATAAATTGGCTAAATAATCCCCAAAATTCAACAACTTCAACAAAAGATTTGAAATAGAATTCTATAGTAAACTGAATTTTCTCTTTACTACTGAACCACTTATATGCAAAACATTTAACTGTTTTTTCTTTTTAGGTAAAATCTTTTAATTGATTGCATTTTGATTTGTTCTAATTCCTAATCTTTGTTCTTAAAAAAAGGCTGGGCAGATTAAGTGAAACAGTATGATAAAAATGAGGAGCAAATTAAATTATCGTCAGGTCTTAAACATGACATTTCCTTAATGCTTTCACTTAACTGAAATATTAGGATCTCAGGCATAAGGCTTGGAAATAAAGAATTTTCCATTACAGCATAAAGACTAGTGGAAAAGAGTTATATTATTGTTTCCATTGGTTATCTATTAATGTATGTATTGAATATGGTTACCTGATGACAATTACTTTTATTATGATATATTTTTAATTTTGTTCCCTCTTCCCATATCAACCAAGAAAGAAAAATTATGTCAGCAAATGTATTAGTCAAATTTCTTGAACAATTGTTTTTTATTAGGTATAATGCAGATTATCTGTGTTCTAAATGTGGTGATTAGTAAAGCAATTTCCTCCTTGGCTATCTTGTTTACAATTAAAACTTTAGTTAAGAACAAATGATATATAAAAACCAAAAAAAAAAAAAAAAAAAAAAAAAAAAACCAAACTATTTGGTATGAATATTTTTTTTTTTTTTTGAATTTCAAAATTTAAACTTTTTTTCTACTGGTAAATTTAAAAAGTCCTGTGTGACAATAGCCTAGTGGATGAAAGTGTTGGTTAGTGAATTTGGTGACATAGTAATTACAAATTAAATCCCTGGGCCGAGCAGCGTGTACTCAGACACAGTGGAAACAGGGTGAGCAATAACTGAGCAGTACTAAAAATAAGAACTAGACAAGATATTCCTAAAAATGGACAGAGGTATGAGAACATTATAGCCTTGTGGATTAAATAAATGATTCAGTTCAGAATTCCAAGTAGGCTACCTGGATTGATATACACCTGAAGGTGAATATCATGAACGGGCAAAACATTGTGATGATAACAATAACAAAGATGAAGACTAATCCGCATAAAAATAATAAAAATGAGTGCAATAATAGAAAATGCATTAGAAAAAAATATAAATATAAATAAAAAAAAAAAAAATAAAAAAAAAAAAAAAGTTATGAAATATTTTATTTCAAAACCATGAATATTGAAGTTAATTACAAGAAATAAATTATAAAACAAAATAAGCAATTTGAATAAAATGGGCAGAAAGTTTGAATAACAGTATAAATTCATTAAGACATCTGGAAACAAAAATGAAATATTTTATTTTGATTTATTTTATATGGCTTAACCCTTTGCAGGTTATTTAAAGCCAGAAAATATTTTAAGATTGTAAGTATATTTTTTCTTAGCTAATAATGGTTTAGTGATACAAGTCTTACTAACCCATAGCAGTGGGAGAAGTGGATTTATACCTTTCTTAAGGGGATTTGCGCATAAGTGAATATAACAAATCCAACTGGAACTGTATGTCGACTATCTGATTAACAATTTCAAGCCATTATCTTACACTACCTGGTATTCCCATAGTTAACCATCTAGGTACTCACCAGTCTGGACATTGAATATAAAATCATGGCTTACAAGCAATGTTTATAATTTCACTTTATACTGGAAAAATTTTTATATATATATATATATATATATATATATATATATATATATATATATATATATATATATATATGACACACAAATTTTATTAAAATGACTAACAAGGGACATCAGTTAAGATTTTATTTAATTTTTCTTGTGTTCTTATAATTTTATGGACTTAAATTATGTAGAAATTGTCCAAATGTCTAGGTACATACATAAAACAATCCATACATTCAGTTAAAAGTAAAAATAAAATCATCCTAAGTATAGATGAAAGTAATCGTACATACAAAACATTTGGACAATTTCTACATAATTTATGTACAGAAAGGAAGAAAATTATAAGAACACAAGAAAAATTAAATAAAAAAACTTAATCACAATAATTTGTCAGTCATTTTTAATGAAATTTGTATAAAAGAGGGATTGTTGCCTAAATACACAATTTTTTTTTTGTGTGTGTGAACACACAAAGGGATGCTGGTAAGTTTTGGGGCCAATCCACTTCTTTGGATCAGTAATTTCAATAACCAAACATCAGAACACTGATTTTTAGGAAGTAGGTTTGGTTGTGTATACCTTCATATTATAAAACCAAGTTGTTTTTTTCACCTGGCTAAAATTCCAGTTTTATTCTACAAATAAAAGCCTATGAAATACAGAGTAGTAAATATGTTAGAGAAAATGTAAATCGAAAATAACAATGAAAAACAACTTGTAAGAAGTTAATATAAATAAAATTATGATTGAGCTAAGTTTCAACTGGCTGTGTTGAGAGTACACACAAATGAATCTTATTTGAAAAGTAATTATTGTCATTATTCTAGCAATAAAAATAAATAGAAATTTGTTGGAAAATGAAATATACAAATGGAAGGTGTTGATGCTTCTTGAAAAAGTTAAGTATCAATTACAGTTTTGGTTAATACAACATTTTATTATCAGTTCTGTTCAGGAAGATAATAGGCATTTCAATGCATTTATTTGCTAATAAGATGAAAACTGCTGCAAGAATGACAAAACTTTCAGTAACTGTAGACAAGGGTCATAAGATTAAAGAATTTCATTTTAGAGAAAATTTTTTTTTCACTTTAACATAAAATACTATTAGTAAACATGTGACAAATTTTTTGGCTGGTAGCTTTATGAAAAGTTATCAGTTTGTTCAATGCTGACATTGTTAAACTAGCTGAAATAATTTTTTTATGCCACACATTACTGGCAGTATCTTAAATATTACAATACAAATAATCTTCTATGTTCTATGTCTCTTCTCACATTGGTGATCATAGTTCTCCACAATTTCCTGTTCTGTTTAGCTCTTAATAAATTTTGTACTTTTGCTATCTTTCCTAAATCTTGTTCTGCCATTTATTTACTCAAGTTCACTAGGTAGGTTATGCATTGTTTTTTTTCTTTCCCTCTTGTCTTCAATCTGTCAAAATTATCAAATTTTCCAAACCCACTTTCCTCATTATGCAACATAGAAAGTTTTGCCTAATGCTTCCTGTTGTTAAATATGTTTCCTTTTTGTTTCCATTGTCTCTAGAAGTTTGTTGTTGCTCACGTTTGATCAATGGTATTCTCAGCATCCTTCTGTAGAACCACATTTCTGTTGCTTCAAGTCTTTTCTTCATTTGTCAGGAGATTGTTAGAAACAAAGCAGAGTACTGGACAAAGTCCTTCTGTTTCTGAATACTGTCCTTAGCTTTTGGGATGCATCTTTGGCTATCCCAATGTACATTTGGATTTCAGTGTTGCACTTTCCATCAACACAAAAAGTTAAAATCTGAACTTCAATGTCTTTCTATCAGTACTTGTTCATTCTTAATCATAACAATTTAAATTTACAATTGTAATAACAAATATAGGTTTCACAGAAGTTTTAAATGATACCACAACTATGTCTATATTTTTTTTTTATGTAGAGATTTTTCAGGTGCATGTAAAGGAATCTTTCTTATTTCAGAATTATCAGTTCTGAAACTAATTTGAATAAAACTTTTGCCTTTTACAAGCCTAATAAAGTTGAAGGAAAATTTCTTTTTTTTTTTTTTTAAATCATTTCACTCCAAGCAAGGTGATAATTCAATTAAGACACAAGGGGTTACTGGGAACTAAAGAGAATGAGAAATCTTTTCATGAAACTGGAAATCGAATATTAAACAGCAAACAATGGATAACCCTCTACTCCAAAGAAAGAGTGTGAACTGGTTGATAGGATATTTTACATTTTCATAACATCAATCAATATATTAAGAATCTGAAGTCTTCCCCTTAATCAGGTATGTCATATTGATCGATTGATTTGTTTTCTAAAGATTATAAACCTTTGCAAGTGAGTTAAAGATAAAAAATACTTTTAGATAATAATGATTTAGTGATACAAGTCTTACTAATTAACCCATAGCTGGGGGGAGGTGAAATGGTGGATTCATATCTTTGTCAAGAGTATTTGCACACAAGTGAATATAACAAACCCAAGTGGAATTGGAACTTGGCTCTCTGATTAACAATTCTGAGCCCTTATCCATTACACCACCTACACATTCAAGCTTACAGCACCTGGTATTCCCAAGTGGTCACCCATTAAGGTACTGACAAGGCTCAATGTTGTTTAACTTCAGTGATTGTATTGGAACCAGTGTTTCAATGTGATGTGGCTGTAAGCAGGTATGTTGTAATTATAATAAATAAATGTAAGTATCATTAGAATATGGTAGAAATACTAAAGGATATCGCTTTTGATTTAAAAAAGTTATGAAGTAATCAATAAATAAAAAAAGGCTTTGCTTTGATACATTAAAATACATATTTCATTAATTTTTTTAAATTATTTATTATCATTTTCTAGCAACATTATTAATCTGAAACTGAAAATTAATATATATAAAAGTATGTTAAATGTTACAATATATTTTACAAGATAATCTTGTTATTATATGGAAAAAAACAAATCTCCATCCAGTATCAACAAAAGGAAGATCTTGTGTGGCTTATAAATCAGTGAAGACAAGAGAACAGTTATAAATGTTTGATGAAATACTCTTGTTTCAGGTATTAAGTTTAGTGGTTTTTAAATTAAGGCATGGGCTATATATATATATATATATATAATATATATATAATATATATATAATATATATATATATATATAAAATAATAAAAAGAACAGTAAGATATATAATCCGGTGTTCTTATTGATTGCTCAATGTAAATTTACACAGCATAAATATTATAAATTAACTGGTTTAAAATATGGTTTCTTCACTACACAGGAATTACTATGTTTCAAAAACCAAAGCTAAAAACTTCAAATTTAATTATATAATTAAATTAAAAGCATTAGTTCTGTTTCATCTTCATTATATGTGCATTTAAAACTCAGTAAATTTAAAAATAAGTTATTCCAAAATTTGCTTGAAGATGAAACAGAACTAATACTTTTAATTATATAATTAAATTTGAAGTTTTTAGCTTCACTTTTTGGAACATGGTAATTGTAAAAAAAACTTTGTGGTCATTGCACCATCTGCATGCTACTGATGTGCCATGTCTTTTCAAGATGTGGATGATCATGGTTTTCACAACTTCCTGTCTCTCGTAGCTCTCACAAAGGTTTGTCTTTTTGCTATTTCTCCTAATCCCTGTGCTGCCAACCATTTACACAAGTTTGTTAGCTAGGTTATTCACTGCTTTCCTCTATCTCTCTTGTCTTTAATATGTCCTGTGAGTGTTAAATTTTCCTAGCTCTCTTTCCTCATTATGTGAAATTTCAATTGTTACTTCATGATTTTAAATATAATTGTCCTTTTTGTATCCATAATCAAATTCTAATCTGAAAACCCATAAAGTAAGTAAATAGATATAATCAGCTTTTCCCGCCATAATGCAAAATATGTAACCCATAAAAGAAATATATTATAGCTACTCAACCAATATTAAGTAGTGTTTATTATAATAATAAACAAGTATGTGGTGCTATAACGGCTGCAAACAAACAAACAAAAAAAAAACACTTCCATTTTGCCAAAGTCATATCTATCACCACCAGACTTGTTATTCTCTTGGGTTCAGTGTTCTCTTTTTACACTGAAGCATGCCATGAATACTTAATATTTACCTAAGATAAAAGCAGTGCTTCCTTTCCAAAAGGAGGTTTTTTTTTTTTTAAATTACAGTTGCCAAACCATGCACAGGGCAACAATAACTTTAAGGACTTCCTTTTCAACAATTGCATTTAAGGATATAAATCAGTGAAACAGACTATTGGATTGAAGCCACAAGTTTCTATTTTAATTTCCATTGTATAGAAAATTAAATGAACTCTAATAAAATTGGTAGCTTCAATCCAGGACAAACTGAACTTTTCTGTTAAATATATTATCCAGCCTTTGCAATGTACAAATACCAATATACTGAAAATGTAATGGACAAACTAGAGGAAGAATTCCAAGGGATGTTTCAATCAGCTGCAAAATGCCCTTAATGCAATCTAATAAATCTGGAATCTGATTATTAAATCATTTTAGGAACTGCAGCATCTCACTGGCTTAAATGAGAAGATATTTTAAATTCTGACATGAGGTTACAAAAAGTTCTATAAATTGGATCTGACATAACTTTATTTTTTATGTATGCATAGTTATAAATTCCATTCACATTTGAGTAAAGAAAAAAAATATGGGGGTGCTGCTAGGCAAGAATAATAAAGTGTTCAGATCATCTTGCTGCCAACTGATATACTTTGATATAACAGAGGCCCCTGCTAGGATGTAGTCAGACCATTATACAAAATAAATGAGAGAGAAAGAATAAGTGCGTGTGTGTTTTAGAAGAGTAAGCAAAGATATTTAGTCATAATATCAGCTGCACAGGAGCTGTGAGCACAACTGCAACTGCTACTTTTTTTTATGTGAAATAATGAGAACTGATATGCCAGGTCATTTAATAGGCAAAGTAAAGAATAAACAAAGATTCAGTTGATCTTGTTGAAAAATCCGTTCTAAGCTTCACCTTAACCTTTACATTTAATAAATTTTTCACTGCAGCAAGCTTTTCACTCTCAAGGTTAAAAAAGTAAGTCTTGTTGATATTTCAATGATAAAATATGTGAACAAAGTCAAAGAGAAAAGATAAGTGGCAAATAGGTGGAACTTGATGATTGCAACACATGCAAAAGAAATCAAACAACCAAGCAAATATTGTTCATAATTGAAAATTAGGCAACCAGTCTTATAAGATGTTGCAAAAGAGTTTACTTATATGAAATGCAATAAAGAACATACATTTATATAATTCCTTAAGTCTAATTAATAATACTATATATATATATATATATATATATATATATATGGTATAATGATATATAAATGTTTCTATATGAAGAACAGTTTTGGAGGAAAGATGTATGACAAAGTGAAAAAAGTTTTTGTGACATTTTGTTTCCTTATGACTTCATTGGAATAGGTTTGTTTACATTGACTCAGCTACATATGTGCATGAATGAGAGATCTTGGGAATTTTAAATTTAGAAAAAAAATTTTTTTTTTTAATGTGTTTAGGAAATATAATCTAACCAATTCCATTTAGATTCTTTTAATTTATATGTATGTGTGTTAGTAGGATATAGAATCTGAACAATGTGTTTGATAAATCAGACAAAGTATAAAACTTTTATAAACTATGCATTTTGCCTTCGTTAGATAGGGTTCTTCAGGTCAAAATGAAAGAAATCTGTGTTTGAGCAGCCTAACAAACAGATATTAACTATTTAATATTAAAACAGATTTCTTTCATTCTGACCAGAAGAACCCTATCTAACGAAGGCAAAACACTTACTCTATACGACAGTTTTCCACTTTGTTTGATTTATCATTATATATATATATATATATATATATATATATATATATATATGATAGATAATATATGACAAAGTGATAAAACTTTCTTTTTTTTTGGGATAATGCATTTTGTCCTTTATGACTTCAATCGGACTAAAGTGATGTTTACATTGATGTGATTACACATGTGACTGAATCTCGGAGTCTCTTCTTCATGTGCATACGTAATGACATCAACGTAAACATCACTTTAGTCTGATGTAGTCTTTAGCTGCATAGTATGTGTTTTGCTGAGGTTACATAGTTTTGAATTTAGAATTTTACTTCTAGACCAGTTGCTACCCAAGGCTATAGAATCTAGTCTGTCCTACTATTTACTGATTGCTGGTAGGGGTGGGTGAGAGAAGAGATGGATCCATGCCTTTCCTTTTGGGTATTATTAGCAAGTAAGTGAATGTAATGAATCCAACTGGAAATTGAACTCAGCTCTCCAATCCAAGTTACAATTCATTACTCTACTGTACCGCCTGAGGTACAAAAAGAGAAAGTAATTCCACAATTTTTTTCTCCTGGCCTTCTGGACATTACAATTTAATATGTAAAAGGAATTTAAATATTAAATTAGAACTGTCATTACGTTTTAACCAAACCCGTGTGTGTGTGCGTATATATATATATTTGCTTCTTCCCAACCTCATTGGCAGTGGTTGAGGAGCATGGACAATTGTCTTTCTAGAATAGTTTCAACCACAACTACAGGGGTCAGTTTGCCTATTTAACTAACAGGAGAAGAGATGGAATCATATCTTTCCCAATGCATAAGTGAATATAAATGAACTTTATTGTAATTTAAAGTTCACTCTCAGAGTTCTCATTCTGTGTCACTATCCATTACATTATCTGCAAATCCTTATGTCCATGATTCTCATTACGGGCGGGGGTGAGGGGTGGGGTTGTTGGTTAAAGTGACATTGGTGGATAGCGAATCTTCTTCTGACCATTAGTTGAAAGCTGGTGACCAAGCAGCATGTAATCCACATTCATCACAAGGATGAAGCTGTTGGCCACTTGAAAGGTTGTCATCAAAGTTCCATCTACTCTAGTTTAAAAATCAAAGAGATCCTTCTCCTAGACAGACTGCCAACCAAGGCTAAAAAGCTCTGTCTACCCATATTCCAAGGTGTAGTGGACTATATAAGGCAGGGGCATTCAAGATATTTAATATACCCACATATTGAAATCAATCAATGTATTTTAAAATATCCAACACACTTGAGAGAATTTTTAAAATTAAAAGGAAATTCTTAAACCAATTAAGTTTTCAATCTGATTAATATCTTAATACAGTTTCTAGGTGATACACATTCTTTAGTGAAATGATTTCCATACACCATGAACACAATGGAAAAACAATATAAATAAAATTAAATCTTTAAAGCCAATATTTTACAAATATTAATTTTAAAAGCATTATGTTAATTGGTAATATTAGCAGTTTCCTTAAGAGGAAAAATTTTGCATTTAACTGAGCAGCCAGTACAGCTTTCAACTGAAATTTATAATATCTTTCTATTAAAACAATTTTTCAGGAAAACTGGTTTCTCAACTGCTGTATCTGATACTACTACTTTTTCAGTATTGATTTGGGGGAGGGGGGGTCCTTCCTAACCTCTTATTTGAAGTGGTGTGGAATGTTAACATCTTGATTATATCATTATTTTCTCTTAAGAGTTACATGTGCTATCCATTTTAGTTGTTGCTGCTGTTGATAGTACTCAAGTTTCTTTTATTTGGCACTGTTCTTTGTGATTCTGTAGTGC